CAGCGCCTCTCTGTCCCGCACGATGTCACAAGCCATGGTCCCCGCCTCGATCTTGATTCTGGCCCTGGTAATCTTCACCGGTTTCGTTATTCCTGTCGACTACATGCTTGGCTGGTGCCGATGGATCAACTATTTGGACCCTGTGGCCTACGGTTTTGAAGCGGTAAGCTCAACTTCGCGCTGGCATCAGAAACGCAGACTGACCCAAGTTTCAGCTTATGATCAACGAGTTCCACAATCGCGAGTTTGAGTGCGGTGCCTTCGTCCCCAGTCCTCTGCTCGAGGGCTATGAGAACGTCACTCTCGCCAACAGAGCATGCTCTACCGTCGGCGCCGTGCCCGGCCGTTCCACCGTTAGTGGTGACGCCTACATCGGATCTCAGTACAAGTACTTCAACTCCCACAAGTGGCGCAACGTCGGCATCCTCATCGCCTTCATCATCGGTCTCCACATGGTTTACTTCCTCGCCACTGAATATGTCTCTGCCAAAAAGTCCAAGGGTGAAGTCCTCGTCTTCCGTCGTGGCGTCGCCCCTCCTGCCAAGGGCAAGGACGATGTCGAGGCTTCCATGTCTGGACCTTCCGCTATTGTCGAGAAAGGTGGCAGAGGGGCTGGTTCCGACAACGAGGGTGCTATCCAGGCTTCCACCAGCGTCTTCCACTGGAACGATGTGTGCTACGATATCAAGATCAAGGGCGAGCCTCGCAGGATTTTGGACCACGTCGACGGTTGGGTCAAGTAAGTGATTCTGAAGCTCGTATGCCAACGTCAACTAACCGCTGCCAGACCTGGAACTCTGACGGCTCTCATGGGTGTTTCCGGCGCCGGAAAGACGACGCTTCTCGACTGCCTCGCTGATCGTGTCTCCATGGGTGTGATTACAGGAGAGATGCTCGTCGACGGGAAGATTCGCGATCAGTCCTTCCAACGCAAAACCGGTTACGTCCAGCAACAGGATCTCCATCTCGAGACCAGTACCGTTCGTGAGGCTTTGGAGTTTAGTGCCCTCCTGCGCCAGCCCGCCACTACCTCTAAGGCCGAAAAGTTGGCCTATGTTGACGAAGTCATTAAGCTCTTGGATATGCAGGAATACGCTGACGCCGTCGTCGGTGTCCTTGGCGAGGGATTGAACGTCGAACAACGCAAGCGCCTCACGATCGGTGTGGAATTGGCCGCAAAGCCACCCCTTCTTCTCTTCGTCGACGAGCCTACTTCTGGCTTGGATTCTCAAACCTCGTGGGCTATCCTGGACCTTCTCGAGAAGTTGTCCAAGGCTGGCCAGTCCATCTTATGCACCATCCATCAACCGTCCGCCATGCTATTCCAACGCTTCGACCGCTTGCTGTTCCTCGCTAAGGGCGGTAGAACCGTCTACTTTGGAGAAATCGGAGAAAACTCGCACACCCTTACGTCGTACTTCGAGAGAAACGGAGCTCCCAAGTGCCCAGACGGTGCCAACCCTGCCGAATGGATGCTTACAGCCATCGGAGCCGCCCCTGGATCAACCACCGAGACCGATTGGCACCAGGCATGGAGATCTAGTCCCGAGTACCAGGCCGTCCAGGAAGAGCTCCAGCGTCTCAAGTCCGAGGGCGCATCCCACATTGACTCTCAGGAAGACCAAAAGGCGTCGTTCCGCGAATTCGCCGCCCCCCTCTGGGACCAGCTCCTCATCGTCACCCGCCGTGTGTTCCAGCAGTACTGGCGCACGCCCTCGTACATCTACGCCAAGTTCATCCTCTGCTGCTCCGTCGCCCTCTTTATCGGTCTTGTCTTCCTCAACGCCCCACTCAGTATCCAGGGTCTCCAGAACCAGATGTTCGCCATCTTCAACATCCTGTCCATCTTTGGTCAGCTGGTGCAGCAGCAGATGCCTCACTTCGTGACGCAGCGCTCGCTCTATGAAGTCCGCGAACGCCCGTCCAAGACATACAGCTGGAAGGTCTTCATGCTATCGCAGGTCATCACTGAGATTCCCTGGAACTCGCTCATGTCCGTCTTCATGTTCATCTGCGTCTACTACCCCGTCGGCCTCTGGGAGAATGGCGACCCGAGCCAGCGCAGCGAGCGCGCCGGTCTCATGTGGCTCCTCTTCTGGCAGTTCCTCATCTTCACCTGCACCTTCGCGCACGCCTGTATCGCCATCACAGAGACGGCCGAGATGGGCGGTAACCTGGCCAACATGCTGTTCATGATGTGTCTGCTGTTCTGTGGTGTTCTCGCCAGCCCCCAGCAGATGCCCGGCTTCTGGATCTTCATGTACAGAGTGTCACCGTTCACATACCTGATATCGTCCATCCTATCCACTGGTCTGGCCAACTCCGACGTTGTCTGTTCCGGCAACGAGTATATCCACTTCAACCCGCCAGCCAACGACACCTGCGGGACGTTCATGCGGGGATACATCGACCAAGCCGGAGGATACCTCCTGAACCCCGATGCCACAACCGACTGCAGCTTCTGCTCCATCGCCAACACCAACGTCTTCCTCACGCAAATCAGCTCCAACTTTGACAACAGATGGCGCGACTTCGGCATCGGCATGGTGTACATTGTCTTCAACATCGCCGCCTCCCTTTTCCTCTACTGGCTGGTCCGCATGCCAAAGAAGAGCAAGAAGGCCTAAGCCAACATTCTCTCCCTCTCTCTCACACACAACATCACGACGCAAGGATTCCACTACGCAGCACACAGTCTGCGATCATCACAAACAACTTCTTCTCTTTCTCTAATGTCACCTTTTTCTCCCTCAAAGAATATTACTGCATATGTATGATGGGCATCATAGATGTTTCCTTAAAGTCTGGGTTATGGATCACATGGGCTAGAATTGTCGCAAGATCATTTTGTAGCATTCAATAAACTGAGCATCTCACGAATGAAATAAGTCTGACTCGACTGACGAGGGATGTTTCGCGGAGTCAAATGACAACTCATTGGACTTGGTAACCACAAAGCCTGTCTACTACAACCCGTGTCTTTCTGTAGTTTGTTTTACGAGGCCGTCAACACTTTCCCCGCTATACACCCACGCTCAGGAAGTCGTAGCCCATCTTTGCGCTGTCACGCCACCCCTGGACATTATCAGAAAGCGAACCCAATGCCTCACCCAACCTACAATCACCACCTCACCTGAGCCACAAGAACTTCACCAACAATCCGTTTATACACGTTCCGTTGACGGTGGGTCCTTCTCGTATCCATACCCCATATCCACTCCCTCACGAGGGCGATGAAGTCCCAAGCAGTCATGCCCCTCCTGTGAGCGCCTATAACAGGCGGGTTCCGCCTCTCCACTAACCTGAACCCGTTCGCGGAGAAATGAACATAGGTTTGCAGCTTTGCGTAAGGCGGGAAAGTCGCGTCGTGCTCGATCACGTAGATATTTGGGCTGTCGCAGCCCCACAAACCAGGGAGGTCTCTCCAGGACTTGGTGGCCCTCGCCGCTACGAGGCGCAGGAACAGCGAGCGCGGGCCCGGCATCTCCATCAGCTCCGGCATCGTCTGCGTATTCGGGTCAAAGGCCCACGAGTCGTCGTACTCGAAGGCGATCGCCTCGCGGAAGGCAAATGTGGACTGGTTTCCTATATATCCCAGGTCTCGAACGGCCTGTGTTTCGTCTACGTAGAGATCTTGAGGGACTTGGAAGCAGACCAGGTCTCCGTCGGGGAAAGTCGCAAAGGGTGCGTCGACGCCGTCAACCCTCACGTTACGGATTCCAATGGCCTCTGGTTTGTCGTACGCTCGGTCGGGGTACGGAAGACGTCGAGGGTAGCGTTTGGTGAAGTACTGGCTGATGGCGCTTCGCGACTCTCGACACGCGCTCCAGAGGCCGTAGTCCGCGGCATACGCGGACGGGCTCCCGTGAAGCCACCGGGAGCCTGGGTGTGTGGCGGGCGTGAAGGTGGATGGTGCCGCGAAGAACTTTCTTCCCGAGGCGTTGGCAGGCTCTTTCTCTTCTTGCACGGAAAAGAAGTGAGCGCCGCGCGTTTGCGGACTCATGGCCATCTTCCAGATCGGCCAGCGCAACTCGGGAGGAAGCTCTCGGAAGAGGGTAAAGGTCGAAGACATTTTACTTGTGAAAGTTAGATATTCTGTAACGTGATAGTGAACTGGATAAGAAGATGCGTTAAGAACTTGCGAGCCCGCGGAAGTTATACACCCGAGAACTCGGTAACGGGCACCCGGAAGGAAGGTTCAGGTTATTCATGGTTGCTGAGGGACTCTACTTCTTGCTACTGTCACGGTCCTTGGCTGTCTATAAAACTCGGCTTCAAATGAGACGAAATAGAGAAATTTGTACAAGCGATACTGGTGGAAAGACTCTGACTTTACCCAAATACAAAAAAATTGTACCGAAATACATCCGTTTTCACACGATCTGTATCGACTTATCAGTAACGGATAAGGTCTTTGGTATCATCATCTACATCCTCATAGCAGGCATGCAGACTTTCATGGAGACTTATGGGCTAGCCATACATGATACCCACACATGACAGCACCTTAGCGGCCTTTTCCTCCAACTTGGTTCTGAAGTAACATATTGCTTAGGATACGTGATGTCACAGTCTGAACATCAGGCTAGACAGCGTTTCCTCCATCTTCAACGTTAGAACGCACTCATCCGGCGAGACTTCGACTACTGATAGCGGTGGCTTACAGTTTTGATGGAAACCCAGGGAAAAGAAGAGACCATCATCCTATTCGCGGTCTTGAGGGTCTTGTTGCGTTCAAGGGAACTAATTTCAAACGCCCTCGGACGCAGCCATACCCCTAAAGGTGTGACCTCCTCACAGCTCATAGCATTACGGCGAACACATATACTCATGTAGAATCATTGAACATTTCATCTACTCATATGTCTATCCATCAGAGGGAGCAACGCAAGCGAATGGGTATAAAGCAGCTTCCAAAAACACAAGTCCAGCCCGCCCATGATCCAAACCCTTTTCGATCCTGATCCCAACATCCCAAACCTTCAGCAGCACAGTGTCAACTAAACGCCCCCAGCAGCCCTCTCCTCTCTCGTCCTCTCCTCAGCCAGAGGCTCCATCGCCGGCTCCCCCTCCCTCTGGCCCCTAGGCTCGCTCGGCTGCAGGTTCAGCTTGCGCATCAGCTTCACCGCCGCGCGGTTCTCCTCCCGCTCCTCGGCCTCCTTTTCGAGCACCTTGCGCTCCTTGGCCGCGCTCTCGCTCTTGTCCATCTCGTCCTCCTCGCGCTTCTTGAACTCCTCGGGCGCAACGATCTTCTCTTTCTTGAGCGACAACTTCTCGAGGGCCTTCTTGCTCTTCTGGTGCGACTTGACGTACACCTCGAGCCCGACGAGCACCGCGTACGACTTGGAGATGGACACGTGCGACGTGTCGACGCCGGCCTCCTTGAGCGACTTGACGAACGCGCGGAAGTTGGACGCCGGCGGGCGGTAGTGCCCGCTCAGCGGCGACAAGCTCGACAGCCGCCCGTTCTTGATCTTGATCAGCCCCGCCGCAGAGATGCGGCTGCCCTGCAGGAAGCTCGAGTGCTGGAAGGCGCCTGACGCCTTGATGCCGACGTAAAGCCGGAAGCTCGTGTCCGCAACGAAGATCCACGTGTTCTTCTTGACGGACTTGCGGAGCAGCTTGTTGAAGACGGTCGTCGCCGAGATGTGCGAGACCTTCTTCATCCCCGTCGCTCCGTCGAACTCGGGCGTCGCGTACTTTGCGGCGCGGTCGGCTTCGAGGGCTGACTCGACGGACGACTCGGAGCGGCTGTCGTCGACGTCGCGGCCCTCGGGGGGAGGGAGGTTGGTCTGCGACCACGCGGGCGTGGGGTCGTCGGCCGGGACGATGCCGTGAACGCTGTCCTTGTAGGACTCGGTGGTGTCGATGCGCTCGCCGTTCTTCGCCCAGGTAAGCCGCCCTTCTGAGTCGACTTGCACCAGGTAGTACTGTCTCTCCTCTCGCGACAGGTATCTGACCTGCTCTCTCTCGAGCCTGTCGCGCGGACACGCCTCCATCTCAACGTTCTTGCCACCACCGTAGTCCAGCCAATAAAAGAAGTTCTCGTTCGTGTCCGACTTCTTCCACTCCTCGTGGTACACGCGCAGGTTGCTGCCGTAGCGGTGCTTAAGGTCGACCATCTCGAGGAAGTACTGCAGACCCATCATCTTGGAATCTTTCTTGCGCTTCTCGATGGCCTCGTCGCGTCGTTTCCGCCGCTCGGCCCTCTGCTCGGGCGACTCTGTAGAATCATCCGACGAGGACGAGGATTCGGCCTCGGAATCGGTGTCGTCGTGGCCGGCGCGCCTCGCTATGGTCGCCGCTTTCCTCCAGTTGTCCCGCGCCGTCGTCGGTTTCATACCGCCATCCGAGTCCCGCGACAGCACACTATGCTCGTCGCCGCCGTTTACAGACAGCGCCGCAGAGCTCTTTGCCCTCGGCCTGTTCATCTCGCGAAACCGCATCTCCTCGATGGCCGACATCCACCTCGTCGTCGGATCCAGCCCGAAGCCCTTCATCTCTCGCCTCACTCTATAGCCACGGTAATTGCGCTGGATGAGCGCCGCGGCATTCTTCATCGCTTCACTATCGCTCCTATTTCTCGTTGTTGGCGACTTCAGAGGCGCCTCGACCCCGGCCCCGGCATCTTCAGAGTGCCGGGGCGAATGCGACTGCTGGCTCTGCATCGATCTCCTCTTGGAAGTGCGGTGGGTGAGTTTGATTTCCTCCTCGCGCTCGCGCTGCACTTCTGCAATCTTTTCGAATTCGTCGCGCGACGGAGGGACGAGGCTGTCCATGTACTCCTGTCGCGAACTGAGGTTGGTGCTGGTGTGGGACTGCGCGAGCGAGCAAGTGTCGTCACTCTGCGCCGCCGTTGCAGAAAAGTTGCAATCTGGGTGGTGGGAAATGGAATCCTCAGCGGACGATCTTGGCACGGAAGGGCTCGCCGGCGGGGTAATTGCGGCGCAGGAAACGTGCTGATGCTGCTGTTGCTGTAGGGGAGGGGTCCTTCGGGGTCCAGATTCGTCGTCCTTTTGAGTGTTTAGTTGGTGCTCGTGCTGCAGCTGTTCAGAAGCCGGTTCCTCTTCGGATTCGGGTCCGACGGCAGGATAGCGGCGGTTGCTGGGGTCGAATTTCGTCATCATGGCCGTTGCCGCTGTGGGCGCTGCAACGGCTGCGGCTGCTGCCAACGCTGCCACTGCGCCTACGTCTGCGGGGTCTGCCCGGTTGTGACGAAGGCGAAAGGAGAGGGATCTGGCCCGAGAGCCGGCTGGGGCGAGCATCCGGTCTTCTGATCGTTCCAAGTCGGAACTATGCTTTGGGTTGGTGGTGGTGGTAGTGGTGGTGCTTGGTTGGTGCCTCGTCGGGATGTAGGTGGTTGCGAAATCGAGGCGTACTGTTTGTAGACCGATGTTTCCAATGTTAAAGGCTGTTTTAGTGAGGCTGCAGCAGTGTAAGGCGGGGGTCAATATGTGTCGGCTGGAACTTGAACAAGAGTCTTTGAAGGTCGGCCAGTCATGGGTAATTATGGGGTTGAAGTAAGCATATCGAAGAGAAGGGGGCCAGATGTAGTAGATAAAGTACTGCGAAGATGGACGAGTCGAGAACGCAGTCAAGAGTAGTCAAGAATCTGCCGAGACGGTTAGACCCTTTCTCAGTCACTAAAATATATTAGAGCCGGTGGGAACGTTGGATAGGGTAGGATAGGAACGGTCGGCGTCCCCTTCTAGAAGAAGAGGAAATCTCAGGACAATAAACATCGCCCTGCATCATACCACGGGCCATCCTTGTCAGCAAGCGGCTTGGGGGCGGGCTCGTTTCTCCATATTACCCAGCGAAGCAACAAGGTGTGTGCTGCTCAGCCGACGACTGCTGGCGTGTAAATGCTGGGCTGTGACGCAACCTAACACATTTCAGCACACTCGTTTGACCAAGAAGTTGAAAGAAACCCCGTGGGCGAAGACGGCAACGGGATGCGCTGATGCCTTCGGGATCCCGGATTGCCTCTGGGTGCGCGGCCGTGATGCGTAACTTGGTTCCTGCGGCCTCTTCTCCCGCCCGCAGTCCGTCTACTTGTTGAAGAAGGCGCCTGTGGCTTGTGCAGACCGAGAAAGCCAGTGAGATGCTATCCAGCCAACCCGATAGGCAACCTCGACCACTCAATCAGTCTAGGTGTGGCTGTCTAGACGAAAGGGCCAACGGAATAGACAGGGAAACCCCGAAATAGCAGGCCACGGCCACCTCACAGCTAACTAGCTCATCGGCAGAGAGAGGCATTGCTAGTAGACGATCTCTCAACCGCATGTCTGTTTTACGTACAGACTGAGACTGGGCTGCATTGGGCGCTCACGACGGTCTTAGTCCGCCTTGGAAGGACGCCAAACGGTCGCCAACCCCCACCAAAAGTTTCCAGCCCTGTTAAACATTACGCGTCCTAGTCAGTCTTGCGGGGGAAATGCTCTCCAACCACGATCCTCGCCCAGCTGACAGCAAACACTCTGCCACCAACAAAACCAACAGAGCAAGCACAGGGCACTTCACAGCCACGGCCCCGACCAGAAGGTCCAAAACGGCAGCTCATTCAGCTGTCCTCCTCGTTGCCCCACTTAAGCCCCCCCGCGGCCGCCGAGACTTCTGGCGGCAACGGCCTTGGCGGCCACCGATGAGGGTCCCGCGATCTCGAAGGGGTTCACCGTTCAGTAATCGGGCGTTGAAGCCCTGAGGATCAGATATATTTTGGTCTCCTAGACGGAAACATTATCATTACTGTTCATTTGTTCATGATTCGGGTCAATCTCAGCCCGCTATATATGTGCAACTGGGCCCCCCGCTGGTTCGCAGACTTTTCTGCGCTGGAGACTGGGGGCCCGCCGCTGCGCCCCCGCGATCAGCTACGGCCATCTCCGTGCCGTGCTGCAGGAGCTGAGAAGATATACAAAAAAGGGTAGAAAATAGAGGATAGGTATTTAGACACTATGTTTATGAGAAGAGAAAGTCCTTGAGTACTGGCGACCCAGAGAACTCGGGATTCAACATTATACAACTGCCGCTTGTTAGCATCAACGTTCGTCATCTCAGGGCTCCGAGATTTCCTACTTGAGAAAGTACTGCAACCCCGATCTCCTCTTGTCGAGGAATCTGGGTCTGAATTTCGATATCACGCTCTTGGGCGGTAGAGGGGGCACCGCTGCCTCGAAATTGGGGAACGACGTGACGAGCTTCTCGCGAAGGTCGTCAAACTCTGAGTATCGCTTGCGAATGTTCATATAGCTGCCCTGTTCACCTATTGTCAGCGTCGGGCCCAGTTCCAAGAAACCTCAAGCCTCCAGGTGGCCAAGGCCTGCGCAGGTCACCTACTTGTAGCGTTTCAACTCTGATGTTCCATACTACAAAAGCCCCAATGTTCGTCGCGCTGCCGTTGACTATGACATAGTCTGTGATCTCGACGCTCTTGGCCCAACACGCGCGGTTCCGGTCGTTTCCGTCGCTGGCTTCATTGTCGTGCATCGTGATCGCGCCGGCGGGCAGCACAGACTCGACCGAGATGTTGGAGACGGAGCGCTGGTGGTGATTGTTCAGCCAGTACGGGGGCGACGTCACTGACGATGGGCTCGTCACCGACGACGCAGGGCCGCCCGAAGATGTCTCGTCGTCCTCCTCATCCCCGAATAATCCCCCGCGTGTACCGTCATTGTTCTGGCGCGACAGCAAGCCCGCGATGGTTCCATTCGACGTTGTGACCTTGGGCGAAGCTTTCGGATGGCTGCCGTTCAGGTCGGTGGCGGGGAAGGAGCCATTGGTGCGGAATTGGGATTCTATCGCCGAGTCCATGAATCCATGTGCGGAGCGGCCGCTACCTCATGGACGGGCGCCGTGGTCTTTTCTGTTTTCTCGATTGTGATTGCGGATATCGGGAGAGTCGTGGTCTGGTGGTTTGCGCAGGTGCAAGTCCGTGTGTCTCGTTGCGTGAGAATAAGTGACGTATTGACGATGTCGAGGCCCAAGGGAACGAAAGACTTGTCTCGGGGCGCTTCTTAGACTCCGCGGTCCGGTTGGGTGGTAGGGTCCGCGTGGCTGTGCACCAATGGAATTCAGAGCGGGCTAGAAGCTACAAGTACTTGCTTGGCTAGCACTCGGCAGTCTGATTGTTGAGGCCGGCGATGTTACGTGCGGGCGGCAATTAGGTCGGGCCGTGGTATCGAGATGGCAAGTTGAGATTTGGCAGCAGGGGATCGGGAAATAAGGCTCGAAAATGAAGCGAAATAAGGTATGCAAGTTGATCACTGGCTAAGCCCAAGGTCGGGCGAGATCACAGTGCACAATTAGAGCAATGCTTGGGGATGAAAGTTTGGGTGTTGTTTGTTTTGCGGTATCAAAACAATGAAAACAACAGCGAGAACGAGAGGCGCACCTACCATACCTAACCTTACCTACCACCAAACAAACGTTCGCTCTTTCCCTCTGGTAAGTAAGGTAGGTAGGTAGGTATCTGGGATCATGTGTTGAAAGGGGAACCCCTCCCGCGGAAAGATACGCTTAGGTAAGGCAATTGCCGGATTCAAGGGTCCATTTCGAGTTGAATCCCTACGAATACGCGGGCAGGTGCGCATCGATTGCGATTGCCAATATCAGTCGAAAAGTCTGTTTGGTGCCATCAGACGACAGTCGAGTGGTAAGTGCGCAAGCTGCCATTGGATGAAAACTGCAGGTACCACCGCGCGCTGCATATCACGGCACTCGCAAGCAAAACCTGCAAAACACCAGCAGCAGGGAAGGACGTCTCCCAATGTTCGTTCATGAATGGGCACATCGCTTGTCTTATCTTGCTCGCCACGCATCGCTGGTCTCTCCATCATAGGCCGTTCTCGGGTCTCTGCTCAAAATAGACCAGCCCAAGAGTCCTAGCGAGGTGACACTGACGATTCACCAGGATGCCCCCCCAGAGTTTTCGGTTGTGGCGCCTTGAAGAGAGGTGAACACTGGCAGCACGAGGGTCCAATCCAGATCCAACTCGACGCAAGCGCTGTTCCCCCGCGCCATGGCATCTTGGTCCAAGTCATCGGTGCGGATACGAAGCTGCAGAACCAAGACCCGAGTGGAGGTGGAGGAGTTGGAGGGTGCATCTCGCTGACCAGGGTCTTTGGGCTCCCACTACGATCTTAACGTCGTCTACTCCGGTGCCCCCTCATTGGCGGCCAGGAAGCTTCCTCGGTACTTGCTGCAACCACGGCTGCTGCAACTGCGTGAAGCTAGAGGACTGCATCCGGTTCATCGCATCAGACGAGGAACCAACGATGGAGGAAGAAGAGGACGCATGCAAGTGCGGAAGTTGTTGACAGCTTGACACATCCAGTTGTGGCGGTATCTAGGGCTAAAACGTCCATCACGAACACGACGGTGTCTTCGTGACGTTCAACGGCTTTTTTCAGTTATTGATAGTCCCTTCGTGTCAGCGCCCGGCCTGACTTTGTTTCGACTGACTGCCACGCGGACTTGTTGGGGGTTTTTGAACGGCGTGACACCGGACTGGGCTTCGGAGCCGTCATCAGCAAAGACACCACACCACCAGCTACAGCCCCGACGGTGCCAGCCACCTTGGTTCTCCAACCTCTCTGTTCTTTTCACGTCGCGCTGTGCGTTTCCTTTTGGTGCCGTGTATCACTTTTCAAACAGTGGCCTCGCCCGAGGCACTCTAGACTGCAGGACTAGCTGCGTCGTTGACCTGCACAACGCCCGCGGGGGGGAGGGATTCGATATGCAGAATACGAGTGGCGATCACTCCAGCGGGATAGCCGCAAACAGCGACATCAGCAAAGCAAAGTGGTGTCCAACATTGAGGAAAATGTTGGCGGTTGGAACAATCGGAGGCGGTTCCGCCAGGGCAAAGGGGGCGGCTGCACCAGCTCCTGTCTCGCGGCATCTGCATTTTGCAACTTGCAGGGCGATGGTGGTCTCGTAAAGTTGTGTGCTAAGAGGAGCCTGGAAGAGGGGTCTGGCCTGTTTGGCGGAAGTTTACTGCACGAGACCCGGACGCCGCCGCCGTCGCCGCCGTCTGGCCGCTGGGGTACTGCTGTTAGCCACAGGCACACGAACATCAGGCTGCTTGGGCGGGCAGGCAGAGGAGCCTTGGCTCCGATCACCGTCGAATTCGCCCGCTGGTGTTTCCGTTTTTATGGAGAGCAAGACAGTTCTAGTCTGTTCTGCAACCTCGTAATCAACAATGGGGCCGGTCATCCGATGTGCGAAAAAGCGGCATCCAAGTGGGAATTCGACTGACTTTGATAGTAGGGGAGTGAGTTGAGAACTGAGAAAACCCCCAGCTAGGGATTGGACTGGCTTGACCGACAAGTCAGACACGGAGTCGTCGTCAGGATGTCTCTCGCCGCACAGGATACGGGCGAGCGCGGGAATGCTGACTCCTGCTTTTAGCACCTATGCACAGCATGGACGGCACAGCGAGCGCGAGGCTGGAATTGGCCGTGGGTTGACAGGCATGGACGCAGAGCCGTTAGTGAACGGATCGCTGATCATTGATGGGATCAACAATTGTCAATGGCGATGGGCGGACAAGCCGGCCCTTTACTTCTAGCACCATCCTGATGTGGCCCGGGGCAGCATGTTAATGAGGAACGGCGAGGGAACTCGGGCCTTCCATCTCAACTGAACATGATGAGGGCATTTGCATTCGCGTCCGCATCCGCTTCTGCATCAAGTGTCGGCATCAGCATTAGACATTTGCAGTGCAGACTGCCGCCGCAGACGAAGAGACGAACACTCAGAGAATATCGGTTTGTGGAGAGGAGATTCATCTCCGGGCAACAATGGACACCCGATCTCGTTAGCGGAGCGGGCAAAGCAATACTAACTAGCACCCTGGAGCATTTAGTGCCATCGGTGCTGCAGACAGAGTGCAGAGACCCTGGGAGCTGCAGAGTAACCTCGTCCAATCCCTGCCTAGAAGGTCGCTGAACCCTTCCATCCTCCACCCAAGCCTCAACTCCACCGAAAAAACAACACCAAGAAGCCCTGTCTGACCCTGGGCCACAACCCCCGAAAGAATATCACCCTGGCCTGGCACGTCGCCACGGCTGTTGGAGCCTCCTGACTGACCGACCTGCCTGAAGTTGAGGGATTGGCACTCTAGGGTATCTCTGAGCCGTCCAAATGCCGTCGTGAAGCGGGTCTCAGTACGAATCAGGGCAAACTGCCCATCCGTAGGTACTAAGGGGCGCCTAAGAGGGAGAATCAAACATGCCGTGCTGAGACGGAGGGGGAGAATTTACGGACACGGCCACTGTCTCTTGCCCATCAGAGACATCACATCTACCAAGGATACGGAGAAATCGGTACAGACTCCAGAGTCGACGATAGAATGGATGGATCCCAAGTGGTGACCACGAGTTTACGGTCACATTCTCAACTCAATGGTACGACGTCTCCATTCTGAGCAAAGTCGGCCTCGTGATTGGCAGTCGGCGAACAGACCCCGACAAACCCTGGCCCTGCCCATCCAGCAGGAAATACGCCGGGTGGCTGGCGTGGAGACGAGCTAAACCCAATCCCGCCCGTTCTCTCCATTTCGATATCGCGAGCCCGTGGCGTTGTGGTCAGGGACCCCCGGGCCTCCTTTATTTTCGACCTTGTGCGGAAGAAGCTCACCCCCGGACGGACGCCTGTGGCCTGCCTATCTGCTACTGTACGGCAATGTATGCACAGTACCACCCAGCATTGCTAGCCTTGGCAAGATGGCTTCCTCCATGCCATGTTCCGCTTGGCTCCTCTTCCTGCCCAGGCGCCGCTTCTGCTGCGTGCTCTCCACGGGCCCTCTCCTCTCGCCTCGACCGAGCTAGCCAAGGTACGGCTAATTCTAACGGAGCACCACACGCCTGAGCCTGAGTTTTTGCTTGATATTAACCCCGTCAGCCTCTCTCACGACTCACTTCCTTCTTCTTCTTCTCCCTCCTCACCCTCCAGCCCGTGTGTCTTGCCTCTCGTTACACAGTCGAAAAAGTTGCTTCTGCCCTTCATCTGTGTCCTATCCGCCCCTCTCGCACATATAATCTCTTGCTCTCGTTTTATACAAGAGATCTTGGACAACTTCGCTGTTCCTAGTTTCGATTTTGTGCCCGCTCATTAGGACCAGTCCCTCCGCCTTTCGCTACCACTAATACATTTCTGGACGACGGCTCTTCTCTCCGCCAGCAACGGCTCTCGCTCAAGTCAACAACCCCTTTAGTCCGTAAGTCGACCCCGTCCCATTCCTGACGCCTTCGCCCCCAAGGACTCGCCTCCCTCCAGCCATGTGCTACTCAAACAGCTGTCGAAGCCAATGTGGAGCAATGAGGCTGTGGAAAGAGTTTAGGAATGCAGCATACAGAAATGCTGCTTCTGTCCACAAATATGGCTTTTTGCTGACCAGGAAACGCAATAACAGCAGTTGATATTAATACCTGGCTATCTAGCTCTCCAAATCTTTGTTGAGAGCTCCGTTTTCTATCTTCCCACATCAACATCTCGAGTCGATCACCGAGCACTCACACACACGACACACACAATGCCTTCATTCAAGAGCACCGTCTTTGCCGTCGCTGCGGCTTTCGTAGCCGCCGCCCAGGCCGACTACGTTATCGATCCCAAGTCCGTTCCTCTGGCCACAAGAAGTACGTTATTCTACCCCCAAGTCCTGCTCCACCGCCATGGAGAGTGTGGGATGTGAACACAGATGCTAACAGCAAGCTGCAGAGGCCTGGTGCCAAGATGAGACGAACACTTGCCCTATCATCTGCCAACAGGTTGAGCCCAGGACGACTCTGGTCAATGACTGCGACTACGTGAGTAGCACCCGTTCCCAACACGGCTTTACAGTCACCAATGGAGGGAAGTCAAAACAGTACTGACAGGACTGGCACAGAACTCTCTGACCTACGGCTGCGTGTGCGGCGACGGCAACCAGCCCAACATGACCGAGTACTCTCTCACCCTGCCCTACCACGTCTGCCAGGAGTACGGCAACCAGTGCGTCACCAAGTGCGGTCTCGGCGCCAACGAGTGCGCCTCCAAGTGCCGCGAGGACAACCCCTGCGGAGCCAGCAACCCAACCCGCGCCAACAGCACTTCCACCGCCTCCGGCACGGCCACCGCGACCTCCTCGTCGACCAGCGGCGCCATCTTCACCGGCATGGCCGGCGACGACGGCAGCTCCGGCTCCTCTGGCTCCTCCGGCGCCGCGGCCCTGGGAATGGGTCGCGAGGCTGGCTTCGCCGTGCTCGTCGGCAGCATCCTCGGCGGTGTTGCGCTCCTGCTCTAAGTGGCTACCATGTGTGTGTGTGTGTGTGCTGCTGCTTCGGGTGTGAGTCTGATCAAACGATGGGAAGAAGAAGGGGGAGGGGTGTGTGGCTGGTTGCTGTGTTGCTGTCTCGTCCACTCTTTTGAAATACCCTCTTGCACAAAGTTATTTCACATGCTCGGCGTTTATAGGCGGGGAGGGGGAAACGAGCGCATCGCGCGGTTTTGTCCTCCTCGGGACGGCATTTTCCTTGATAACGGAATGAATCATTGGGGAAATGATTTGGGACCAAGAAAAAACAACTAATGTCTTTTAATATCATCGAGCAGAACACTTGGGCAACGAAGAAAGCGAGCGGATGATGGATGAGAGGAGGAAAATAATGTCATTTAAGCGGTCTTGTTTTTAGTTTTGGGAGGCACGGCTTTGAAATAGGTCAAGCTGAGTCAATGAGAAAAAGCGAAAGGAAGCGGCGCCTTGTTGGGCTGCAAGTTCCAGAAAGACTACTACAAGTTCGTCTGTCCCGTTGTGCATATCGTATCTCGTGCCGGCAATTACACATATTCCGCAGATGCACTTGTTAGTGGTAGTGTCTCCGGCGAGTCCTCCCGCAGAGGAGCAAGCTAGAATGGGGTCCCTATCTAGAGGCTGAGCACGAGACCATTGTCACCGTTCATCCCGTGATGTGGTTCGTGCTAGGCATTCTTCCCGCGAGACGATGACTCCGATATCGTGGGCGAGCTAGAGAGCATACCGGAGCGTGGGCCGATATATGCGCAGCGGGAGGGGGACAAAGGATGAACGGTTTGGCAGACACGGGATGGTGACGGTGTGGCGGGCACCAATTAGAGTGGTCGGGACATCTTGCACTGGTCTCGGGCTTGGTCGATGTCGATGTTCCATCAAATGGGACAAGATAGCCACATGCAAGTCTTGTGCACGGCATTGTATGGCCGCCGATGTTGGCGGCCGGCGGCGCGGAGGGGTCACGGGGACCAGCATGGCGGCACGGCGGCCCAGAGCCGGACCCGATCCATGTGGTGGATCCCCCCTCCCTCACGCAATGAGGCTGAAGTTACCTGAGGCTGGGGGTTGGTGAACAAGGGGTCCTCACATGTCATCACGTAGGTGGATAGGTAGCCAGCCAGCCAAAGTGTTGTTTGAGAGGTTGAAGTTGGGGGCCGATTATGAGATGATGTTTCTTACGGGTGGACTTGCTGTAGTCGGGTGGTCGGGGGTGGCCCAATTGATCGGTGTGATGTTGGTCAATGGCCGATGGCACGTTAGCGACATGCGCCGCAGCTCCTCCGAGAAAGATCAGGTGGAAAAAAGCTGGGTAGGGTACGGAGTAGGTCCGTAGGGCGAGCGGCGCATGCAGGGCTGGGCTCTCACATGCCAAAAGTGTTGCGCCGCCGTTTCTAATAGTCTGAGAAGACGCTGCGAGATTCGCCCAAGACTTGCGTTAGGGCTCTTCAAGTATTGCATGCGCCCCGAATCAACCCAATAGCAACGGCGATAGAAACGACGAGGACGAAAAGGCGGTAAATATCGATGGGGGGATGCACCTTGTCTGGATTTATCCTTTTCGCTCTCGGGCTTTTGGCAGCGAAGGACAGCGTGGGATAAAACGGGTGAGGAGGAGCTTGGGGCGTCGGGGAGCGCGTGTTCTCATAGGTAGGGTCTTTTTTGTCCCCTCTTGGTCTCTCTCTTTTTTTTTTTGTTGAATCGCCGGAGATGAGGCAAGCGGGGGGCGGGTGCTGCTGTAAGCGCAGCGGAGGCTCGGTGTTGATTGGACGAAACAGGGAGCCGGTCGTCGTCGATGGCCTGTGATTCGCGATGGTAGATGGGATGGAAACGGGCAGACCCCTTGTGTGGTGGTGAGTTGCTGCAGGGGAAGAGGTAAGTGAGGGAATTTACCTTAGGTAAGGCGGTGATGAAGAAGGACACCGAGGGCGACAAAGACGATCCATGGATGACGGGAGTAGATGCGGATGCGGAGAGGGTTGCAGTTAATGGCAACGATGGGAGGCACACAAAGGCAGCAATCACGAGGCAATGACAATGACAGCGAATGACGATGACGGTGCCTGTACCTGCCTTGCTTGCCCTGCAGGTAAGGTAGGTAAGGTAAGGTAAGGTAGGTGCGAACCGGCCGCGTAGCTACGGCACTGAGGCTCCTGCTTCCCGCCCCGGCCGCCGCGCCCAGGCTGCTGGACCGAGTTGAGAGCTTGCCTTGGCCGCATCTGATTTGTCCCCGGATGGAGCAGCGTGTGGCAGATGGCCTGTCATTTGCTGGCTTGCTGGACATCGAAAGTCACAAATGTCCACTCTCACGCTTCCAGAACGGATGGATACCTCATACCTGCGCCTCTGGTGGACCAATGCACCGCTCAACCAGCTGGGGTACAGTCTACCTTGCCAGTCCACCGACCGACCCCCTGCTCTTTTTCCCCCTAAAAAAAATAAACGGCCAGCTCTCGTCTATGATGCGAGGCCATTGAGGTGCCTGCCTTGACCTACCTACTATACACTACCTGCCTTCCTTACTTTCTCCGATCCCAAGTTTGCATGCACAATTAGCTCTGTCTTTTTGCGGTGGAAGCCGCGCGCAACACATCTCGCTGTAGCTTTTGTCTCTGCTATAGATATCCATCACTTCCCCTCCCCCACCACAAGCCGGCGTTGCATTCTCCTCTGGTCCCCTTTTGCTTCTGGACCTCCTCAACTTCCTCGGCTCCCCTCCTCACCCCTCTGCCTCCTTCTATTGCTACCTTCAACCCCCACAGTCGTCGCCGAACACCCGTCATTCCAGACTTCGCTGTCTCTGGCGCGCAACTTGTGCAGAATGGGCACCAAGACCTCTGAAAGTGAGCATCACCCCTGTCTCCCTCGCTCCCTTCGGAAGCCCAGACCAGACACCCGGGTCCAGATGAGCGCTCAGCTTGTGGAATGTTGCGCCTGCAATTGACGGCCGAGGTTCCTTCACGAGAACATATGGCGGCTTCTACACCTTTGACGAGCAACTTTGGCTAACCTATTGTCTTCTTCCAATAGAAACGGCAGCCGCCGAATGCATCTCCGACGATGCCCTCATCCACCTCAAGTCGTACAAATACTCCGCCGTCGACAAGTCGCCCATCTCCAACTACATCCTTAAGCCATACGTACGTTAGCCCCTCCGACGATCCCCCTCCTCCGGTCATGCCTTCCCCCGCGCCGTCCGAGCGGCTCTAGCCAGCCATCGCGCGCTACATCCCTTCGACAACCTGCTAACACAGTCTGCTCACAGTGGAACGCCTCTGTCGAGCTTCTGCCGCTATGGCTGGCGCCAAACATGGTGACGTTGCTGGGCTTCTTCTTCATCCTCGGAAACATTGGCCTTCTGGTCGTCTTCATGCCTGATTTGGTTGGACCGGTACGTTGAAACAGAGTCGGGGAAGATAATCACAGTGAACACTCTGCTGACGACGCGCAGGCTCCGTCATGGCTATACTTCAGCTTCGCCTTCGGTCTTTTCATGTACCAGACCATGGACAATCTCGATGGAAAGCAGGCCCGCCGAACAGGAACCTCGAGCGGACTCGGCGAGCTCTTTGACCACGGAATCGACTCCCTGAACTGCACCCTGGCCAGTCTCCTCGAGACCGCTGCCATGGGTCTCGGCTGCTCCAAGTCCGGCGTTTTCACGGCTCTCGTCCCTTGCCTGCCCATGTTCTTCTCGACCTGGGAGACGTATCACACCCACACTCTGTACTTGGGCAGAATCAACGGCCCTACCGAGGGCATTTTGATCGCCTGCAGTGTCATGGTTGTCTCTGGTATCTACGGCCCTGGTATCTGGACCCAGCCCATTATTAAGCTTTGGGAGGGTCACGAGAAGTACATGTTCGGCTTTGCTCACTTGCTGGGCGAGACCTCCATCCGTGACATCTGGATCGGCATGATTGTCTTCTCCCTGTTCGCGACCCATATCCCCTTCTGCGTCCTTCATGTCATCAAGGCCCGTCGCGCGCGTGGCGAGCCTGTGGCTCCCGTCTTCTTGGAGTGGACGCCCATGGCAGTGTTCACCCTCGCTATTGGCGCATGGATCTACTCGCCTTACACGACCCTTCGCACCGAGAACCATCTCGTTCTCTTCTGCTTGACCATGTCTTTCGTCTTTGGTCGCCTCACCACCAAGATGATTCTTGCTCACCTGACCAAGCAGCCGTTCCCGTACTGGACCGTCATGCTTGTGCCTCTCGTCGGAGGTGCGTGCCTCGCCAACCTTCCGGTCATTGGCATCTCTGCCATCAGCGCCCAGACGGAGCTGTACTACTTGTACGGCTACTTCATCTTCTCCGCAGTTGTCTACTTCCGTTGGGCCTACCTCGTCATCACCAGCATCTGCAACTTCCTCGGAATCAACGCCCTTACCATTCCCAAGGAGAAGCAGCTCGCCAACAAGCAGGCGCTTCTAGCTGCGCAGACGGGGCCGATTCTCAACGGCACTGCGAACGGCTTCAAGAAGGAGTAGAATCTCAAAGTTCTGTGAAGACGAATATAGAGGTGATTCAACACCAACGACCGACATGGGAATGGCGACGACGAAGAAGGAGGAGGGAATCTTGAGTAGAGGAAACTACAGCACGTCTCGCTGCGGCCGAGAGGGATACGATTGAGCTTATTTTGCATTGACGTCGGCGTTGCAGGAGGCTGATCCCAATTTCAACATTGCATGCGCTGTTGTTCTTTTTATTTCGGCGCTGAGGGTGAGCATGCCGCGGATACTGGCATGACCGGACTACGTTTATAAGTACTACAACTATTTAGTAGGGCGAAAAAGAGCCCCTTTTTGCATAATATCATTGTTCAACATTCAACGTTCCACCCATTATGTTGCGGGTTCGGGGATGAAAACAGAGTGGCACGGCATTCTGCGAGCAGCTAGCGCCGGACAACAATCCCATGATGAGGGGTTCTAAGTGTCTCGCGCTGTTTTAATGGCGGCTTGCCTCCAAGACGCCAGGCTGCTACCTATG